AAAAATCAGATGATTTGTAAATCACCTGTAGTTGGGTGAGGTCAGTTCCTACCTCTTCATTTGGACACTAACCGGGCAGGAGGTCAGTTAGCTAACCAGCAGCTGTGCAAGATCTTCAGGGTACCCAGAACTGACCGATGCAACGTGCAGCTGGCTTTGAGAACTTACCTGGCCTGGAGAAGGTCTGAATAGTCTTTAAAAAGACAGCAGGAGCAACAAAGATGATTATAATATGGATTTTCTTGGCAGGGTGAAGGAAAAAGTGAATTATTTTTAAGTAGCTCATTAATAACAAACATGAATTTGTCAAGAACAGCTCAACCCTTCTTTTTTCAGTGACAGAGAAAAGCAGTAGGAGTTATGTGAGTTGTCTTGCCATCACTCCAATTACTTTGAAGTCTGTCTTGGAAGCAGAATGAAGAGCATCTCAATTAAACTACTATAAAACAGAAGGAGGCTGTCACTGTGCTCCAAAAGCATTATATACTGTTGCTAGTGTCCCAAAGGATAAATAGAAAATATTACATCTGTGTATGTCACCACCACAGTGGTGGTGGCACACAGTGTTACATTCTGCAAGAAAAACTGGCAGACAGGATTAGAACTAGAATTTTGTCAAGATGCAGTAAGATAGCCCTTCTTAAGTTCTCAATGGAATGAAGAATAACTACATAACATTACCAAAAAATGGGGAAATTACAAACTGGTCATAGTCAGCTGTATCATATCATTCTTCTTCCCAGGCTTGTTATGATCTAACTGGAGCATTCCTGTGCTTCTTAGATGGGTTTGAACTCTAACTTATAGGTTGTATTTTCTAGACCTCGAATCACAGACAAAGGCACTCTGGAGGCTATAAAGTCTGCTGTAGAGGGGAGGAGACATGACTATTTGAATAGAACTTATTTCCAAATACCATGAGAGGAGGTAGAGCAAAATGAAGGACAAGATGGTGGCTTTTGTTCCTTCTAGCCCCATCCTCCACAGGAAGTACTGCAACTCAGTAGGCATCAACCTACTTCATCATGTAGTTATGTAATCATCCCATGTACAATTCTCAGATAGTGCTGGTCAGGATGGATGGACCAAAGAATTTGACACCTGGAGAAGTGCCATCAGTGAACATGACAAGATGATGCAAAACTGGAGGAAAACATGGGTAAGAATTTTTGGAAAAGATACATACCTCTTACAGTGCTTTCTACATAATGCGCTACGTCCTAATCTTATAAATAGTCTATGATGCTTCTGCAGCTCCATGTATTTCTATAACAAAGTGATTAGTGTTCCTGTACATGTCGTCATTCTTGACCCACTCAGCAGTAAAATCTGCTCTATCTATGACTTATATTACGGTTATGTCAGCTTGCTCTTTCAGTCCACTTACCAAGCGCTGATCAGTCAGTAGTTCTTGTCCTGCCCCTTACACAGTAAATCTGTCTATACTGAATATAGATTAATTTCATCCCAGCTATAGATTAATTGGACTGCAGTGACTACTGGACTTCATAAATGGTATTGTCCATCAAAGCTGGCCTTCCTTTAAAAAAGAACAGTCCATACTTAGCTTTTAATGTTTTTCTCCAACAGTTAGAACAAAGATTACTTTTGGTAACTTTTGGATACAACACATGCTTGTTGCATGTGGAAGTCAGTATAGGCAACCTTTAAACCCCTTTTTAATTTTTAACGCAGTATTAAGACATCATTCTGACATTTTTCTTCTTCAGGAAAGCTGCAACAAGAAAAACAGGCTCTAATGGACACAGGAATGAACAGGCTAGAAGGAGAAATGTATGCAAGTTACCCAGTACTCTCTAATATCACAGCATTCAAAGAGGTATTTGTGAGTGCTAGTGCTGGCATTAAAATTGATATTCAGGCGAATCACCTGAAGCTTGAGGTGGAAGAGGATATTCTTACTGCACCAAATAACTAAGTTACAAGCTGCTGGAACTATCTCTGGTTTTCTGATGCCAGTTATTTCAGCTTAATGAAGAACAAAAGTGGTCTCAGTAAGACTTGTGCTGCTCAAACAATATAATATTATATATGGCTTCTGTTTTGAGTTCATTAAGCAAACCGGTTAATTTTGGGCTTGAGGATCTTGGCATATGATTTAGAGATTAATAAGAAGATGTGGATCACATTTATTTAAAGGCACTTAAACTGGCCCATTTATTTTCTTTTAATGTGTTTACCCCTATACTCTGTTCCCAGTGTTTTGAAGAGCATTCCTTTCTGGTGTCAGCAAGTTCATTTGTTCAAACACATTTCCTTTGGTAATAAAGCTTCTGTACCAAATAAAGAACTCCTGACTAATGCTCAAAATACAGATAGATTACAAAGCACCCAAGTTAATGCAGACTCTTTGTTTTTTGCAAATTATTCTTCTATACTTGAGATAACTGTGGTAGCTTTAAAAAATTCTTTGTTGAATGAGTTCTAAGACTACAATTGCATCAAGTGAACAACTGAAAATGTGAAGACCTACTTAATCCACAGTGAAATTATTTTACTGCATTGCTGTTCAAAGTTTTGTCCTTCTGCATCTAATAAAGTCTGAGACATAATTCAAGTTTCCTGTCTTATCTTCTCAATGGTTTTCAACGATCTGGAAGCAAGTAAGATGCCACCCAAGAATCACTATAGCTTGCATCCATGGGGACAGCTGCTCCCAGCATGAGTAGAAAGCTTCATACTTATCCCCAGGTTACTGCCTAACTGGTAAGACTTAAATTAGATTGCTTTGCACACTGAAGAAAGCATTCTCTCACTCTTAAGACTTTCCTGAATGACCCTTTTTTTTTTTTTCTTTCAATACCAGACCACCTTGTGGTCACACATGCAGGGTGAAAATTCTTATACACAAACCATTTTCCCCATTTTTCACATTGGCAATCATAAATTATGATGATGCAGACTTCTGACACCAATGTTCAGATGGAATTTTTTCCCCATTGTGTTTCTCTTATGACATCTTTTATGGCTAAAGGACAACTATAAGAAGACTTTTCTTGAATTGTCCCTCCTCTGTTTATTCAATGGATTTGGAGCAGACTTTCGTCTAGTTCTGTGGTGCTGAGTGGGAAGGTAAAGCTTTGTAAGACTGAGGTCAGAGTTTTAGATGTACATAGCTGAGCTTTGCCTTGTCTCTGCAGCAAAGTACTGCAAGCAGTAAAAAAAAGATTGCCAGGTTTTTTGTGTAGCTCAACTTTGTGAAAAAACATCTGTGTAACAGAATTAGTGAACACAGCTGTGACCCCTCATAGTGAATTTTTTTGCTGCATTCGAAGAACAGGAAATAACTCCCTAAGATTTTGAACAACCTACAACATTTCCAAAGTAAGTTTTTATGCTCTTCTACAGTAGGGCAAAATAGAAAATATGTCCAAAAAAAAAAAGCTGTTAAATATGATTTTCACCAACTGGTCCCCATTCCATGCAGTGACTAGGTTTAGCAGTTTCAGAGTTTTAGATGTGTATCAAAAAGTGCCACAAGTGCAAATAAATCACAACTTACCTCTGGATCAAGGATATCTGCTGGCCAAAACCATCTTTCATCACTGGGATCTTTCACCCTCAATTTCCATTTGAGATTAGAAGAAACTAATACAAAAAGATCATCACCATAACTACTGACCAACTGTTCATTTCAGCTTAAGGCTGGCTTCCCTTACCGATGTTCTTCCTCAAACTGACATTTCAAGTATCACTAGGTGCCCACCAGAAGAGTTTATTTAAGTCACAACAGTATTTTATAGAATCAATATATTGTAACAGATTTTATACAATTTACATTCTACAAAATTGTTTGAATTTCAAAATTATTTAAGTTTTTATATCACTTCTAACTTCACAAGAAGGCAGCTACTCTCCAAAGTATTGCACTACAAATGTTCAATGTGGTGAAGCACCTACAGACACGCTTCAGAAATGCTGGCAGCAGCACATGGCATCGATATCATCTTTCAGAACAGCTGACAGAAGTTACATGTGCATCCTCCAATTACTTTCTTTAAGCTTCTCCTCTTATGTCTGCCACTTGTAAACAACAGTATTTATATAGGACATTCCCACTAAGGTGCTTCACCATCATTATGAGCACATTTTGTTCTTAAAATTTTATTTCTTAGAAGATACAAATTTTCCCTACCTTAGATACAAACTGAGATTGATCAAAAACTCTTACATATATACACCGACACAACCCCAAACTGAAGGAATGAGGAGTCTGTCGGCATGGAGAAGGTACAGACAGGATAACAGGCTTGCACATTTGCTGTGCTTCAATATCCTCTAACTTCAAAGCAGGACCTATGATAAACTAGCCTCAGTAGCATCAGAAACATCATCACTGTACACTTGATCAACTTTATAAAATTTATAAACAGAGCATTTTCACTTCAGGAATTTCAGACCTTTGCAGTCCATGCTCTCTCTCTCACACCTGCTATATGATCCCAGAAGAACAAAATATCACACAGCTAACTGGGAACTTTGTCATCATGGCCATCCTTAATTATTTTCCATCAAGCTGCCTGCCCAGAATTAATTTCTTGCTCACTGGAAGAAAGTGACATTGATGCCAGCCTGCCTACCTAAGCAGGTCTATTTAGCAGAAAAAAACAGAAACAAACCCACAATCAAAAAACAGTTTAAGTTCTTCAAACAAGAGTTAAAAATAAAAAGCAACTCCCCACAAGCCCCAACCTTCTGGCTCATGGAATCTCTTCCCAAATAAAATTATTTTTCTAGGAAGTTCTTTTGGTATATTCTATCACTAACAAATCAGTGTTAGTGATAAAAAATCCATTAAAGTATACCAAGCCAGTTCAGGGCTTGACAATTTGCTGTTGTCATCTGCTATAGTAATCAGCCAAATACATAGAATGTAAAAGCATTAGCCAGTGCATGTGCTCCACTGTGTATTTTGCTTAAAGGGATTCAGAACAGTTTACTTAGTTGACTTCAGCTATTTCTTAAATTATTTTATTTTGTTACCCTCTTCCTAGGGGTCTAAAAAAAATAAAATTAAAAGCCCAATAGAATTGGATCTAGGTTTACTGTTCACCATGTCAGCAGTTGCACTCTTTTCCAGTTCCAGTGCATATGGGTTATACTCCTCTTCAAGTTTTCTCTTCCAGATTTTAACTAGGGAATATTAGAATAAAAAAAAACCAACAAACAGTTTACTGATTAACTTAAAATGAAACATCACACTGATTCTCTACTTCCTCCTCAAAGTAAATGCTGACATAAGTTGGCACACGGGCATGTTGGCATGTACACCACATGACGTCAGACGACGCATGAAAGAATGCTTTAGGAGTGATGGGATCCATTGAGGTCCTTGTGTCCAGCTCCCTACTTAAGCAAGGCTAACTCTGAAAGTGGATCCAACTTTGAAAAAACTCAGAAGTTTTCAAAACTTTCAAAGAAGTTTTAAGTTGCCTAGTATCTGTGATGATAACTGTCGTTGTCTGGTGACTGTATGAATAAAGCTGGAGGAATGTTTCTAGAAGTGGAAGGCCCTTACAAAACTTGAACACTTTTGGACATGAAGATGCATCTCAAACAGGCTTCAATACAACACTTAAGTTCACTATAGTTACAAAGTATGCACTTCTAGAAAAAAACTTAGAGGATTTTTAACAAATAGAAATAATAAGGAGCTCTGTTAAACCTCCTTGAGCAAAGCAGGTTTGCTTTGGCCTGCCATCAGTGGATTTCAGAGAGGAATTTTCTCTAAGACCTTCTCAGCAAGAGCTGATCTTAGGTTTATAAAATTAGGGGGGTGGGGGGAAATCACAGAAAAGCAGAATTTCCCCCCTTACTCACCACTAAAGTGCCAGGTGTCATTTGTTTCAGTGAAAATGGTAGAATTGAAGAGACTTTGAAAGAAAACTGAACCAAAACCAAGTCAGTAAATACTCACTGTAATTTGGTACATCCTCATCAGAGTCCTTGGAAGATGTTTTACCAGTTTCTGATACGCCCTTTTTTTCATATTCAGTGGTTAAGATGCTGGGTTGGATTTCTCTTAGTCCTCCTTCAGCTTCTTCCTCTAAAGCTGCTATCATATCTTTGTAGGCCTTCCTGGCCTCTGTTGTCAGTTGTACCATTCTATGAAAATGGTCCTATAGAAATATAAAATATTAATAGAGCTTAAATCATACAGTAAGTTTTAACATCTCCATGAAAAAATCTGTAATGAATATTCCTTATTCAGAACATCTATGTTCATATATAAAAGTTGAGCACCTAAGTATGTATAAAGACATGAAAAGTCTTTATAACCATTTATAAGCAATTATAAAAACACCAATTCTCTTGAAAAAAAAATTTTGGAAAGAGATCTAGATGGACAGGATGTCAGGAAGAGATGGCCAAACTACTTTTTTAAACAGTAATGAGTGGCTGTACTTCTAAAATCAATTTTTCATATCAGCCACTGACCTGTGATAGAGAGTGTAAGTACGCAAAAGCAAAACGAACAAACAAAACCTTAGAGTCAGAGTATTTTTTTTTCCCCTTACAGGTAAAAAGTCAGAGTTTCTTCCCCCTTACAGGTGAAAAGTAAAGCTAAACAAAAACAAGAACCTACATATTTCAACTTACCTGAGCCCCATCATAGCTAAAAATTCCCACCACGCTCACTGGCACTGCTTTGTTCACACAGCGGCCTAGGGCCTTGCGATTAAGGGCAAAAACAAACGGGATATTCTGTTCACAGGCACAGTCGATAATGTTGTGTAGAGTATCATCCAGCCCACCTGGAGCAGACAACAGAATTAGCAAAGAATGACACTATTCAAGCTGGTTATAACTAAAGGCCAGTACTGTTAAAAGATGACAAAAAGTATCCCAAGAATATGGGTGCATTTTGAAATTACAAGAGTTTATAGGAAAAAACACAAGGATCTCAATAATAGCATTAGATCTCCATTTTTAAAGGAGAATTTGACTTTTTTTTCTTAATTCTTAATTAGCAGTATCCTTAGACTGCAACTGTTCTGTGTTTTGTTATATGTGTAGTATAGTCTAATCTAGTATTAAGAAAAAGACCCAGCTGCTCAGAAATTATTTAAAAGTTAACAGAAAATAATGACAATAATTACAACAAATTTTAAACAAACTACCACTGACAACTTATTGTCAATCTGTGGCCTAAAAGATAAGCAGCACTTCTTGCGGTGGCACAGCTGGCATCAGTAACCTTTGTCTCTTCTCAGCTGTGCCAGTGCAATCTTTTGTGCCGCTGCACTGCAAATTGATAGCTAAACCAGATCCTAGTTTCAGAAAACTTCCCCCACTCCAGATAGCCTTGACTCAGCTCGCACTTCAGCTGCACAGCAGTAAACAACCTGAAGAAGGAAGGCATCTTTATATGACTGGATTTCAAAGGCTACTCAAATAAGTTCCTCCAATAGTAACACTGCTGCCAATATACTGAGCCTGCTTTTTTAAATTTCTTTTATTAAACAAACTTTTTTTTTTTAAAAAAAACTTATTTACCCTTTGACTGAATCTTTTCACAGTTAGGAGAGATGATGACGCACTTCAGTTTTTTCAGCTTCAGATGTTTCAAAACTTCTCTAAGACCCATAACAAGCCTGCGTTTTATCTTGGCCTTTACTGGGTCTTTCTGATACAAGCGATCTTGGAAACGAACCAGTTCTTTTAAGAGATCTGTCACACAACTGTCAACTTCTTTACTAAGTACCTGGCTGCAATAACTGAAAGAAAGAATCAATTAAATGTTAAAAACCCTAAAATTACAAATATGTAACACATAAATATGCAATATATAAAATATGTAAAATATAAACATATTTTATTCTATTCTATATCTTTGTCTTTTTTTCTATTTCCACTCCAAACACACTTGTTATATACATGAAATAAAAATTTACTTAAGATTTTTTTCAGTGGCTGAGAATTTACAAAAAGTTTTGTCACTTGTGGTATCTGGTCCCCCTATCAAACTATACTAAAAATACATACACACATGTAAAATAAACCTATATATATTTTTTTTTAAATACCAATAAATATATATGTACATATGTTTTTCTATTGAAGCATTTTTCTCAGGGCATTTATTTTGACCTATATAAATCAAAATACAGCAACCAAAGTATAAAATTCTAATTTATTTCTATAAATACAAGGCTACTTATAACAAAGATGGAAACCTGGATCAAATTCCTCCTCCCTACGTTCATATTTTTTGTCTGTCATCCCATTTCACTTATCAGACTACAGCCTTGTGGTGTTCATAAGGAAGAACAAAACCAGATGTACTTAATCCTTCCAGTATTCCCTGGGAAAGATCAGGGTTTCAAGTTTTTTTTTTCCCCTCATCTTCTACACAAAGAATTGTTCAGTAAAGAAGGGTCTCAAAGAGAAAAACTAAAGATATCTGAACTGTACAGTCAACAGGAAGATGCCAAGTGGCAAAATCACATAAGATTATGAGAAGAGATCGCAAGACCTATCCTGGATCTTAGAGATACAATTATCTCAAAATTTTATTTAAGGTACAAGCGTTTTTATTTACTATTTCCAGTTGATTTCACAAAGTCTCAAAGACAAGTCTACTAAAACACTGAAAATCTAATCTAAAGACACAAAATATTATAAGCTTTGCTGAATGCTCTACATCCTATAATAGGTAGGACTGAGTTGCCCTGTACATATTCAACTCAAACTGTGCTTTCAGTAAAAGAGTGTGGCATAGACACAAATTAAGTAATTTTTAATGCAATTAAAAGTTAAATTAGAGCTAACACATGGCATCAGGAAGATAAAGAATGGCTGTATCAATATTAACTTTTACTATAACGTGAACTGCAAAAAGGCCAGTGGTGTCTTTATGGGAGGAAAACTGAAAGTTAAAACACCGCTTACGTAAAGTAACTATTTTAAACTGTCACAACTGGATCTCTGACCTCTTCACATATAGTAATGACTATTTCTTCTTTTATAAGGGAACATGTATACACATCTATTTAAACAAAACTGAAAGTGTTTGCACATAATAACCCATAAATCTTCCCTTTATTTCTCTGCCTAGCCACAACATGAAAATGTCATCTGGCTAGTCACATTCTTTACATTTTTGCCATTTGGTCTGGCAGCAGAAAACCAAAGTACGCACTAAAAATAAGTAAGGTGTACTACTGTGCTGGTTTTGCCTGGGATAGAGTTAATTTTCTTCACAGGAGCTCGTATGGGGCTGTGTTTTGGATTTGTGCTGAAAACAGTATTGGTAACACAGGGATGTTTTAGTTACTGCTGAGCAGTGCTTACACAGAGCCAAGGCCTCTTCTGCTTCTCACCCCACCCCACCAGTGAGCAGGCTGGGGGTGCACAAGAAGTTGGGAGGGGACACAGCTGGGACAGCTGACCCCAACTGACCAAAGGGATATTCCATGCCATATGATGTCATGCTCAGCAATAAAAAGCTGGGGGAAGAAGAAGGAAGCGGGGGACATTCGGGGTGATGGCATTTATCTTCCCAAGTAACTATTACCCGTGATGGAGCCCTGCTTTCTTGGAGATGACTGAACACCTGCCTGCCGATGGGAAGTACTGAATGAATCCCTTGTTTTGCTTTGCTTGCGTGCACGGCTTTTGCTTTACCTCTTAAACTGTCTTTATGTCAACCCATGAGTTTTCTCACTTTTACCCTTCTGATTCTCTCCCCCATCCCACCTGGGGGGCAGTGAGCACGCGGCTGTGTGGTGCTTAGTTGCCGGCTGGGGTTAAACCATGACAACTGCTCTTTTTCTTAAATATTAAGCTGGTACTCCATTTGTTTAAAATAAGGTACTTATACTTCAACAGCAGCTCCTTTTCCTTCCTCAGCCTCTAATGAATTTCTAATCTTTTTTTTTTTCCTTCAAAGAACATGCATTTTGAAGTGAGAATTACAACAATGTACAGACTATTTCTCTGGATATAATTTCTTTGTTTGTGTGTCAGCTTGCAGAAAAACTGAAAAAAATATTTAGAACCTTCAGTCTAAACTCCAATTAGTGTTGCACAGAATGCAATTAAAGTATCTTGTCTGAAAAATGCCATATTGATGGTACTGTGAAAAAAGAGACATCAATACAATCAATACTTACTCTCTAAAATTCCTACTATGGATTTTTGGAAGACTGGAGGTTAGCTGCTTTGGAATCATAGAACCTTCTGTAGATTCCTTGATCCCCGTATTCTCCAGAAACCCTTCAGCAACTTGTGTTACAGGAACAGCTATCATGTAAATAAAGATATTTCAATAAAAAGACAGACCAAAAAGCATTGTGTAACTTGTGAAATATCTCTTGAAGAGTCTTTACATCAGTATTACAACAGTCTGTGGTAGTAGGGAAACAGGTCATACCTTTTTATCTCTTGGTTTTTATTATTATACCTCTTTTTAAACAAATTGCCAGAGAGATGCAGGGACTCTCATTACAACATAATAAATCCAACAGACATAAAAGTTGTGGAATGGTAATCAGAATCCCAATTACTCAACTACATTGACTCTCAGCTTTGGCATACTTTAACTCTAGATAAGCCCAAGCTGAATCTTAGAAAATTCTGAAGTTACAGTTTTCATTTGGCAGTATTTGGTACACATTTTGGAAAGTACTAAGTGCGCTTACTCTCAGATCTCCATCTACATACTGTATTATAGCCTTCTGTTGAAAGATACCTGCTTGACTATCCTGTAGAAGTGTTTCATCTTCAGTAATATTTTCTGCAGACTGACAAATATTATTTTCATCTTTTGGTACTGCTGTCTGTTCTAACAGGTGTCGCTGTTTTCGTTGTTCTCTTTCCTTCAGAATAATCTTAAAAAAAAAAAAAAAACCAAAACCAAAAAACCCAAATCAATTCCATGTCATATCAATAACAAAGCAGTTTCTCTTACCACATGTTTACGTACAGACCATTCATAAAGAAGTTTGGCAGGATCATTCAAAGTTTACAACATTTGGAGGTTTTTTAATTTGCACATAAAAAGAAGGAAAGATACTCCCTAAATCTACATAGAAAAGGACTTTTTCCGTATTTACCAGTGTCTGGATGGAGAAAATAATTACTAGGGATCAACTACAAGAGCAGAACTAAAGTTAAAGCAACAAATTGCTTCAATGCAGAGAAGCAGGTGAAAAAGTCTCCCTCTTTATCCTTCTCCTTCAGACTGTCAGTTTGTAACAATTCAGCCAAACACTCAAATACACATATATATATATATATTTATATATGTGCACAGTTACTCTTCGCCCTTATTCCTCTGTTAAAAATCTTGAGTCGGTCTAATAGATTGCTGTCTCTGAATTTGCTGGTTGAAGAAAAAAGGAAATTACCATGGATAGCTAAGCCAAGTGGGGTACACGGAGGGAAGGAAAGTAAGACATATGCTGGATCCAGACATGCTACCGTAGGTGAAAGCAACAATCAGTTTCCTGAACCTCAACTTCCTTCTCTGCTTTCATAGCTGCTAAGAAACAGTTATTGTATATATGACCACTAGCTCAGCTAATCTACCCAAAATTTGTAATTAATTACACACAGAATCTAATTGCACAAGTAAATTTCTCCATTTGCATTTGTCAAAGATGGACAAAGAACAAAAATAAACTCCCTACCATACAAAGAACACAGATATTACACAGACAAAGCAATCGTTGTCTTCTCAAACCTGCTTTGGAAAATAGATGGAACGAAGATAGAACAGCCAGAAGACACGGTATCACCGCCCCCCCTCCCCGCGTTTGTTATATGTTGTTTATATTTTACAGTTCTCAAATTCAATTAAGCAGCACAGAATGACCATTAAACTACCTTCACTAGCTCTGTAAGAATTGTTCTAGACCAAAAAGTGACCTAGCAATGGAGTGGTATATCAAAATCCTCTGTATAGAAGACATGACAGGAAGCAACGTGAATGGGCAAAGAGGGAAGATACAAGAGAATTCGCCAGGTGGATCTAACACTAGTTGCTGCAGAATCAGCTGAAATTCTGGCTTGGAAGAGCACAGAAACATTAAATACTACCTTTGTTTAATCCATTCTCCCCAGTCCTGCAAATAAGCATATCTTTTCCAAACCAAGTAAGATTTCTCTGGATGTCCCCCTGTACCAATGATGTGTGGACACTTTTGTAGTAGCACTTCTTCAGCTATCAAGTGATTTAAGTGAGAAAATATATTTTGGGGGAATTTGTATATGCTATTTAGCAAGACTCCCCTCTTCTCCCCCATCCCCCTCTCCCCTTTTTTAAACCAAGGAAAGCTAAACATTTAGACAAGTGGACGCTTAGGTGCAGATCTCCATACCAGAAGGTTTAACAGTCTCACAGAGTAATACTGAAATTACATTAGCCTATATTGTACTATTTAAGGTAAAAATATGAGCACCTTTTTAAGAGGTGTTGGTCTCTTTGCTTTAGGCACTTCTCTCTGTTTCCCTTTCTTTACCAAAGGAGCACTGGAATCCAAAGGATTATGAGGCATCTTTCCTTGGTTTAACCGATGACTTTTTGTGGCTGTAGCAGGTTCTTTAGAAAGCAATGGTATGGCACCACCAACTGAGATTAAAAAAAAAGTCTGCATCAGACAACTGTAACAAATACCAAAACTAGAATCCAATGCAAGTTTAATGACTGGATTAGGAATAGTATATACATTAAATTTGTGTTGTGTTGCTATTAAGAATATTTATAGGCAATCCTGTGTCATTAAACAATGTTATTTAATAAAGATATTTCTCCCAAAAGACTGACATGTCCTCTACTTTTATTACACAACTAGAATCACAAGCTCTGTCCATGAACTCTCAAAAGCAGAATCTGCAAACGCTGCACTCCAGGCTACCTTCAACACCATGCCATGCTGGCTTGATAAACCTTCAGGAATCTCCATGTTTCATGGTAATGGCATTTCCTCCTCCACAGATTCTGTACTGTGTTAAGATAAATACTGAGTTGCAGTATTACAGATTTTAGATTTAATTGCTGTAAATAATCTGGGGCACTTCTACCACTTGTTATGCCTTAATGAAGTTGGATAAAGTTCATTTGCAGATGGGTAATGAGTAATGCAAAGCTACAGCTGAGTCTCTTTTGCTTAACCAGCACAGCTCTCAGGAGATGTCTACTTTACTTGCATTTTTCAGAGGGTTTAGAGCACAGAAGCTTTAAATGACTGGCCAAGTCACTGAAACTGGACCTTCCAAACCATGACCTCACACCCTACTCTCCCTTCTCAACTCGCTATCAGTAGGAATTGCTGTATCATGTGAGAGCACTTTGTCTCTTCACACTAACTAACTTCAGTTACCTGCAATATAAACCAGGTTACATTAGCAAGTCAATGAAGAGGATAACGTAAGTATCAGTGAAATGAGCTTGACACCTTTGTGCCTCAGGCAACTTTTCTCCCCTAAAAAACCATCCGAAGCTTCTGGCAGCTTGTCTTAAGCCATCTTCATTTACTGCTTCCAAGTATTTACATGCTGATCCTCCAACACACAGTACTATTAGCATAAACAGTTTACTTCATAAAACTTCTACGCTGCAACTTTTCTTTTTTGGCTCAGTGTAACAAAGGCAAATTGAGAACACTACCAAGAACGTTGTGCAGTATTTTAGCATAGACGGCTACAAGAATGGAATCTGGGTTTGAAGCAATACATAAGTATACATCCTGCTGACACGTGGCATTTCCTTCACTGTGTGCATCACCTCTTCATTTCAAATTCAGAGAGTTCTCTGAGCTTGATGGCTTTAACAGTTTCTGTTATTTTGCACAATTGATGCATTTCCAAAACGTAATTTAATTTCAAATAATTACTGCTTTACCATGCTGTCCATGCATACTACTTTATTTGGTAAATAATGTAAGTGGAATGAAATAACTTTGTCTACAGTCACACTCCTTGCCCTTCTTGTTCACTGTGCTTCTCTTCATCAGCACAATGCCACATTTTGGTACACATCAATTTAATGGGTGCACTGAATGTTGGAAAAAAGTATAAAGCTGAGGTAACATCTGCCTTATACTTCCAGTATAGGAACACGACACATCAATTTCTCTTCTGCAGCAGATTCAGACACAGGCAATTTAATATTAGAAAACAGGTATTGTGATTCATACCTTTGTGCTCCACCATCTACTCGCCAATCCATGCACTGTATAATTTTATATAAACAAAACTGGTTATTAGCACCTCTGCAGCATAGAGTTTGACTGACTCAAATGAAGAGAGAGATCAATTGCAGAAAAAGAATTTTAAAAAGCATCTTACAAGTTCTCTCAGTGAAGGAAAATCTCATCAATGCTTGGTATTTTGAGCTTTTTATTTAAAAGCTCAGCTATCACATTAAATATTGTGAGATGAATTCTCTCGTGATTAGCTCTCTTTCTGAAATAATTTTTTAAAAAATTCTTTACTGAAATAAGGAGAGAAATTTTATCAACATTAAATTCTAGCAAACATCATGTTTTCTTCTGCAAAATATACTACACTAACATAGCCAAGACTAAATATTGACCGACAATGAAAAAGACACTGAGCTATTTGTTTCTGCTTCCTGGTTACGCACCCAAAAGGTCTGAAAGATTCCCTCCATCACCAAAACCTAGCATTTTGTTAACAGCAATTACTTCACAATTATCAGGCATGGCAGAACTCATCCTTTGGCTTGGGCTGATTGACTCTCACATAACCCCTGTGTTTGCAAAGGAGCTTTTTCACTCAAGTTACAGCTCTAGGATTTCTAGCATCAGAGGTGCTTAAGAAAGCCTTTCTTACTGTGTAGCCCCTTTCTGCAGGTTCACATCACAACAGTAACACACACATTTAAGACAAAGCAAAAACCTCCACAAACATTAGTATTTTCGTCAAAGCTAAATTTCAATCACCTCTCATATTTATATACGGTATTCTTTTACAAATCATTGTCCTGAAGGTTGTTCTTTCCCCAAGTCTTCCTCCAAACAATTCAGATTGCCTTGCTTTTTAAAATTTTGTTTAAAAGAACCTTCATCTCCTCTTATATCTTGTGAACTGTGCTCCTGCCTGCATATTCAGAGATCATTACAGATCAGAAATCAGACTACATTTAACATCTGAATACTTAAAAACAACTCAAGTTGAAAGAAAGGAAATTTCATCGTAACCAATACCTGAAAACACTACAGGTTTAGAAGACTGCTTTGACTTCTCTGTTTGCTGCTTCTGCTCCAAGACTGCCAGCATGCCACCCAAATCCAACTGCACAGGAATTTGACTCTTCTTACCACTGCTCCTGGATGTTTCCTGAACAAGTTCAGTACCAATTAGTAATGCCCTCCATTTCAGAATGTAAAGACTGTATTTTGTATGGTGTGTAATACACTAAACATCTTCATCCACGATACTTTCGATTTTTAGCTTCATTCAATGAAAGTATTTGATCTTTAAATACACATCAACTTTAATGTGAAAAATAAAAAAAATCGGAAACAGTTCAAATAACTTTTGAATAGCTACTCAAATAAAGCATAAAAGCATAAAGTCTTTAATAAAGAAGCTGCTTTGTGTCAGGCTCCCACTTTGGTCAGACTGCCACCTATCTTTGAAAAAGAAAAAAGGCTTACCAGAATTGAAAGTTTTGTTAAAAGTACAGAAAAACTACTCTGTGAATCTTCCAGGATATGTGATTGCAACACACATATGTCATTACCTTCAATGTCTTATTAAAAAGGGACGTCATCATCTTTAAGCACCATCTCCTCACAAGCAGTAATCTTTGTGTCTGCTTTGAAGAGAAGGCAAAAGCGGTGTCCCGCACTTGGCACCACATTCAATGATTCAGAATATAAGAAGATTACAAATGAATAGTCTAGCGAAGACTACGAAAGGGCAAACTACGAGGGCAGAACATGCTAAGGAAATGACTCACAGATTTTGTACTTTCAGAAGTCTTATACTAGAGAATCAATTCAGTATAGCTTCTGTTACAATAGGGTTAAGGAATGTGACCTGCTCCTTCCAAGCCTAGGATCACATCTTGCATCAGACCTATGCCAGAACCTACTCACCAAGATGCAACTACTTATTCACTGTTGCTCCGTAGTTCTTCTCCTTGCCCCAAGCTAACTGGATTTCCTTGCCTCTGCCTAGCAGAATCACTTTTAAGAGGTTCCCAACTCCTTAAGACAATCAGTTTGGACTGGATTTATGTCATGATCAAATAAGACAGGTGAAAGAAAGATTCCTGATTCCTGAAACTTGCAGGCATTAATGAAAAGCTAGTATTTTTTCCTGAACACTGTATCACAAACTGGGGGCTAGCAACTACTACCATTGAGTACTTCTAATCAAGAGGATCTTGTCACTTATCTCAAAGTATGAATGACAAAGTATGAATACAATCGCAAATGAGCTTGGACTTAGTCTTATATTTAAATATGGTAATTTCGTTTGTCATTTTGAGTTGTAAACTTATTTTCAACCATGAACGCATTTACCTGCATTTTCTTTCTTTCTAACATAGAAGATGAAGCTTGCTTCCGTGACAGTCCATCCACCTTGGGAGTTCCATCCAGTGTGGGAGACCGACTATCCCAAGGCTCTTCGGGGGGATGGATCTTTGAAATTTAGACACAAAAGGTGACAAGGAGGAAGAGAAAATATTTAAAGACACATGGAAAAGGGTAAAGTGAAGATGATATTAAATTCAAATGGAACATAGACAGTGGGATTGCACCCTCAGCAAGTTTGTGAATGACACCAAGCTGAGTAGTACAGCTGACAGGCTTCAGGGAAGGGATGCCATCCAGAGTGACCTTGACAGGCTTGAGGAGTGTGCCTGTATGAACTTCATGAAGTTCAACAAGGCCAAGTGCAAGGTTCTGGTCCTGGGTTGAGGCAATCCCCAGTATCAATCCAGGCTGGGGTTGAATGGATTGAGAGCAGCCCTGCAGAGAAGGCGTTGGGCGTACTGGTGGATGAAAAGCTGGATATAAGCTGGCAATGTGTGCTCGCAGCCCAGAAAGCCAATTCTATCCTGGGCTGCGTAAAAAGAAGTGTGGCTGGCAGATTGAGGGAGGTGATTCTCCCCCTCTGCCCGGCTCTCGTGAGACCCCACCTGGAGTACTGCGTTCAGCTCTGGGGTCCCCAGCACAAGAAAGACATAGACCTGTTAGAGCAGGACCAGAGGAGGCCCCCAAAAATGGTCAGAGGGCTGGAACACCTCTCCTACGATAAAAGATGGAGAGAGTTGGGGTTGTTTAGCCTGGAGAAGAGAAGGCTCTTGGAAGACTTTATTGTGGCCTTCTAAAAGTGTGATCATTTATTGGCTGCCACGCTACTAAATCAGACTCATGATTTCCTCTTTTTTTCAGATTTGGAAGAAAAAAAGAGCAAGGCAGCTTCATCTTCAAATATTTTTTAGAGCAGTATGAGAGGCTTAATGATCATGTCTCTACAACTTATGTAAGCTTTGAGAGGTTATATCCCACTTAATGCCTACAAAGCTAAAAGGTATCTCTCTTTTGAGGTGCAAGCCTGTATAGCACTTTCTTTATAAAAAATATGGTTTGAGCAACTACTGTGCCTTTTGCTGCTCATTCCTCCCTCTCAATGCAATTTACTGCCTCAAAGCAAACAAGGGTTTTGGTTTTTTGGTTTGGTTTTGTTTGGTTTTTTTTTTAACCACCAATATTCACAGTGAAACAAAACAAAGGACAAAAACATCTAGCAGCAAAACTAGTTTCAAAGAAACAGAAACCTGGAATTTCACCTTTACTATTTATGTTATTTGCTTTGCAAGAGCAATCATATTTCCAATCCTTGTGATTTATGTTTGGGATTCATTCCTGTCCTGAATGAATTTCCAAATTAATCCTTGGGATTCATTTCACACGTTAAAAAAAAAAATAGCTTGGATTTATAATTGATGTTGGACTCAAATTCTTACCCTTGCATAGCTTGAGAACGGAGTGTTACACTGTTCAGATGCCCTTGAAATTTGATTATATGAACAAACAGCAAAGGCAGAAATCTTCTGAAAGACTCTTAGTATTATTTTTATGAAATTCAAAATTAAACCGGAACACTACCTGTAGGAAAACAAACTACATAAACAGAATTCATCTCAACTAACTTCGAGTGTCCACGACAGGTGTCTATATTGGAATTAGTAGCCCAGAGTTTAGGCAGCAGTTCAGAGCCCAAAAAGGTATCTCCTTTGGAATGATATGAATCTATGAATACAGTGAATAGCTCTTCACTGTCCACAGAGTACCTAAGGGGATTGCCATGGGTAGGGCCCCACATGATAAGCACCTACATTTAGTCAAAAGAATTTCACCTTTAGTCTTACTGTAAATTTGCAGTCTTTTCCTGCTTATTTTCTTAACATTCACATAACATAAGATTACTTACTTCAGACTGCTTTCTGACAGCAGGAGTAAATGATGATTTCTGAGGTCCTAGTCTGTTTCTCCTATCAGAAGCAGCTGCCAGATCAGGAAACTCCTCAGCATCCTAAACAAATAAATCGGAGGATGATTATATAGAATCATAGAATCATTAAG